GCGGCGCGATGCGGTGCAGCGGCAGCGGGGCGGGACGAGGCGGCCACCGCCTTTATATGGCCCCGCTCTCGCGAGCGGGGCGGGGGCGGGGCGTGTGCGCGCGCTGTGTGTGTGTGTGTGTGTGTGTGTGTGTGTGTGTGTGTGTGCATGCGTGTGACTCGTATGTGCGCACGTTTACACGCGGACAAGGTTCTTTTATTAGACCAGCTTAAATAGTTGGAAAACAATTAGTAAGCAAGCTTTACATCTATGTGCGTGTGAATTATGCGTCTACATAGGTGTGCGTGTGTTATAGATGTGCGTGTGTTGCATTATATGTACACCCGTGTCAATTATGTGCGTGCATGCATGTATGTGTGTGTGCATTATTACATGTACACCTGTGTCAATTATGTGTGCATGCATGTATGTGTGCGCGCATGTATTATATGTACACCCGTGTCAATGATGTGCGTGCATGCATGTATGTGTGTGTGCAGGTATTATATGTATGCCCGTGTCAATTATGTGCGTGCATGCATGTATGTGTGTGTGCATGTATTATATGTACGCCCGTGTCAATTATGTGCGTGCATGCATGTATGTGTGTGCATGTATTATATCTACGCCTGTGTCAATGATGTGCGTGCATGCATGTATGTGTGTGTGTGCATGTATTACATGTACACCTGTGTCAATTATGTCTGTAAATGCATGTATGTGTGTGTGCATGTATTATAGGTATGCCAGTGTCAGTTATGTGTGTGCATGCATGTATGTGTGTGTGTGCATGTATTACATGTACACCTGTGTCAATTGTGTGTAAATGCATGTGTGTGTACATGTATTATATGTATGTGCGTGAATTATGTGTACATATGTGTGTGCATGTATTATATGTGTGTGTACGTGTGTGTATTGTGTGTGCATGTATAATATACGTGCATGTGTATATGTATATGTATGTGTATATACCCACCAACACCCCCAAAACATGGCTATATACTTTGACCGTGTTTTACTAAATATATATATTTACCAACACCCCCAAAACATGGTTATATCTATTACCGTGTTTTCGGGGTGTTGGCTGCCTAGCTATCGATGCATTCATTTCTTCACCATGTTTTACCAAATACATATATTTATATCGTATGGATTACCATGTTTAGGGGGCGTTGGTTATAGCCACGTTGGTCTAAGGACATAGGCAGACAAGGTTCTCAGTCTAATAAAAGCTATCACGTTGACCCAAATAACCCTGTCTGCCTACATATATTTTTATACATTATTATATAAAAATCTATGTATACATTTATACACGTGCACACACGTATGTGAGCAAACCCCTCTCACCCTGCTAGCAATACTAGACGGCAAACATAAGCCCTTCTCTGTTTCTTGCCTCTGCTCTCACGAGAGCAAGGCAAGTCATGTGATGCAGGGTTAAATTTAAACAATGAAGGTGACTCTCAGCTTTGACTTGGCTGCCTAGCAGAGAAAATTGAAATACTTTGGCTGCTTTGTAGGACGCAGGGGAGCTGTCAGGACTAATGATCCAACTTCTGAAACTTTCCTAAGAGTTATGCAAAGGTCTTTTTGGTGGTGTGGTTTAGGCACAACGTGGAGTGGAGCGAGAAAATACTTTGAGGCAATCTCAGCACTTATCAGACTGGCTTTAATGGGAGTTGGCAATACATGTTTATTTCTTGGCTGCACTAGTATTAAAACATGAATATTTTGCAATGTAAAGGATGCCATCAAAAGGCATTTTTAAACGTCAATCAGTATTGGAAGATGATAAAAGTAGATTGTATTGGAACCACCAAATTGCTATATATTGCAAATATTTCAGAATCTGTACATCCAAAGGATTTCTTTAGCCCTTACCATTAAGATTCAGACTCATTTATCTGTATATAGCAAATATTTTGTTCATTTTACTGACAGCCATAGGGGCACAGCCAGGGTTCAAATTACACTTTGACCCTGGGGGGGGGCGGTCTGCAAAAAAAACTGGGCTGCCCATTATGATGCCCTAATAACATTAGAGACTCCCCAGGTTTTGATTTTCAGATCTTATGGGGGGGGCCTCGTCTTTTATGGGGGGCTCGGCCCGCCTACCCCCCAAACTCCCCCTAAATTGAACCCTGGGCACGGCCATGTGTATAACGTGCCCCTGAGTCTGTGTGTATGAGGGACTGGACAAAGACGGTTGTCTGAAAAAAGAAAACTGATTGAAAGTTAGTATTTTCTTTAAACGGTGAGCACTCTTTGCATCTCCCTGAATTATTATTGCATATTTGGCCTCTTTCGTGATTACCTGTCATGCAGGAGTTGAACGTAGCGTACAAATACAATATTTATGTCTGGCAACACTGCTGTCTGCCTGCATGATCTGCTATGATTGTTGCTGTTGCATAGTGTTCTTCTGCACTGATGAACATTTGTCTTGATCGGTTT